ATTTAAGATTATTTTGTATTTTGTGATTTTTTAAAAATATTTTTAAAGTCTCTTCTTGAATAAATAATTCCAAATTAATGTGAGTTTCCAATTTGAAATAAGAAAATTTTCAGTAACAAGGAAACAAAAATTTATTTCACTTTACTGGCTTAAATTGATTAAAAAAATGGAATATTTAATAACTAGGAAGCAAAAAAATTAGGCGTGATGGTTGTTAACGCCAGGTGGGTATGGGAAGTTTAGGGATATTAATTTGGAAGGAAAAGGTAAATTTGGCATTAGATGATATTAATTTTGGATTATTTTGTATTTTAAAACATTTTTAGAAATATTTTTGAAACCTCCCCCATGTTAGGATTATTTTATTGAACTCACCATTTTTTTGAAATAATTCCATTTTCTTTTCTTTTGTCCCCATTAATTCCCAACTTTAATTTAATGCTAATGATAACAAATCCAATTAATGATAGTAATTTAAAGAGAATGGTAAATTTGAAATCTCAAGGTACTCGTTTGAGAGTATTTAAGTTTTCATGAATTTTTAGTTTTTATAAACCCACCCTAATTTGGAAATCTTTTTAGTTAAATGTCAAATTTCGTCCCTTGATTTTTTAGCATTTAGCCTATTTATTTTTAGATTAAATGTCAATTTTAATCTCTTAACTTTAAAATTTTATATTATTTTTGTCCCTCAACTCTTTTTGTATATTTTTTACCCCTTAATTTTAAAAAATACACATTTTAATATCCCTAAATTTACTCGAGCACTATCGCTAAATTAGCTGGATTAAGTGGGAATGAAATTTTAAGGATATTAATTTGAGAGGGACAAAATCGTAGTATACTGATTTGAATTTATTTTGTATTTTAAGATTTTCTTTTAAAAAAATTTGAAACCTTCTCTAAGTTGGAATTATATTTTAAAATTCACAATTTTTTTTAAAAAGTTCAATGCTTATAAATCAAACTTTAAAAAAATAAAAATAAAAAAATTATTTTAAAATAACATCGATTAGTACTCAAAAAAATTAAACAATCTCATAATTACTTTTTAACTTTTTTTTAATCAAAATTTAATGAAACGATGTAAATTTATAATATTTTTTTTATTAATTTTTAAAAATCCAGTTTATAAATATTTTACTATTTTCTAAATTATCTCAATTTTTTATTTAAAAAAAAAAATCAAATTAAGACATACCATCGAAAGAAACGGGATATGAATTATGAAAACCAACCCACATCCCACACAAAAAAAAAAAAATCCATATCGCACCTGACTCTTGCGACCTAGTGGCAATAGTCACTCGGTACATTCCCCCCTTTTCGGGCTGGGTTCGAAACCCACCCCTTGCAAATATGTTCAAAATAAAAAAAAAAATCCATATCTACATGCTATGCATTCATGCATTCATCCATTAATATGAATATGTAACGTGGCATACATATATGAATAGATAACGTACGTGACATGGTTGAGCAATGCCCAATCTCGTGCACCTATAAATAGTCTCCTTCCCCACCTCGACATCTACCCTCTGAAACACAACCAGAAAACCAGGAGGAAAGAAAGAGAGACGAAAAGAGGCAAAAACCCTAATCTCTGATTCCAAAACCCTCTTCGTTTTCTCCAAATTGGCTCTCTGGTGCTGTAATACTTCGCATTTGGGTTCTTGGGCACCTTGGATTGTCTGGTACTACCTGCTCCGAGGCTTTCTCTACTCCTCGGAAAATTTTCTGCATTCTTGTAAGGACTCCAAACCTTTTTCATCTCACTTCTTTTTTGTTTTATGCTATTGGGTGTGAATTTTTTTTGAGTATGCATGCCCTGTTTCCGCCAATGTGTCAAAATTGGTTGAAGTCTGTATTTTGATCTTTAGTATCTTGTTTGGTTGCTGGGGAAATAGGCAGAAGAGAATGAAAAACTAGATTTCGTTTCGGGAGAAATGTTGACTATTTTTGTTCTATTGTTTCTATATATATACCTTTGAAAGTGAAAGATACATCCCATCCTAATAAAGAAAGTACCATCTGCTCCTCAACTCAACATAATCAAAGAAAATAAAAAGGAAAATTTTTGTTTTTACAAGTCAAAGTGCAGTTCGCTTAGTCTCTTAAGTCGATTTTCCGAAATATTGAATTGTTTGGCTTTTCTGGCATCTATTCGATCTACCTAATTGAGGAATTTTTAGCTGCGCCCCAGTATTTAGTTTGGATGAATTTTAACTCTGTTCTATTTCAGCCAACAGCCTTTTTGTTTATTTGTTTATATATAATACATATTCTTCTCTCTGTGGCGCATAGTTGATCTACCGAGATGGGATTATTTTAGTTTCTTTATGGACTGTTCTGCATCTTCTGGGAGGCCAAAAAAAAAAAAGTTCTGCATCTTCTGATAGGCAATCATATGTGCCTAAAAAGTCCACTTGTTGCAATAACATAACTGGGGATGGGGACCCTTTGTGTCCGGCATGTAATTGTGGTTGATTTCTATTTGTTGGTTTCTGTACTTTGGATGAGCTTGATAACAACAGAATAGAATTCAGTAAACATATAATCTATTTAAATACTGCCCTCTGTTTAATCATTGTTTCTTTCTTTACCATTTACCATCTGGGATGTGAGCTAAGAGCTTCCGTCCAATAACGCTATATAAGAATTAAATTTTAGCGTTATAACACTAACCCTATGTGAAGGTGCTAATGAAAAACAATTTAACTTCATTTTTCAGGAGTTATACAGCCATGGTGTTTTGGGTTTTTGGCTATGGTTCACTTGTGTGGAACCCAGGATTTGAATATGATGAGAAGATCGTAGGTTTCATCAAGGATTACAGGCGTGTATTTGACCTGGGTAAGCATTTTGGCAGTAGACGGTGACTCTATACATCTAGTGTTGACTTCATATGCTACAGAAAAACCAAGTACTTATGGATCTCCTTTTCTATATCTGCTAGCTTGCATTGATCACAGAGGTACACCTGAAAATCCTGCAAGAACTTGCACGTTGGAGCACATTGAAGGAACCATATGCGTAAGTATTACCAGATGCTGATTCTCATGCATGTCCAATAGTTTAATGATATGAAGTTTTGCACTTTTCCTCATTTTCTTCTCAAATTTGTGATCTTTTTTGTTAACCTTTGTATAATTGTATAGATACTCTGTAATCTTTAGCAAAGTTTTAGATCCAGTATTTCTGAAATTGTTTGTGGCTGTTAAAATTTTCCCAGTGGGGTGCTGCATTTTGTGTTAGAGGGGGCCCGGAGAAGGAGAGATTGGCAATGGAGGTATGTCTCTTTGCATGCTTTTATAGAAGGAAAGTGTTAGGTGTAACTGAAATTTCAGAGCTTTACTGTTTGATTTTAAATGATTACTTTTAGCTGTTCGTTGGATAACCAAATTTGTATTTTCTATAGACAATGAAAGTCACATTTTGTTCAATTTGTAGTACTTGGAGCGCAGAGAGTGTGAATATGATCAAAAGACCCTCGTAGACTTTTACAAGGTGAGTTGTTTTATTATACTCCTGTGTCTGCCTGGTTATCTATTTGCTTTTATGTATAATTCTTCATTTCTATTCCATGTGATTGCTTTCATTCAGGAAGAGGATCCTCAGCAGCCCGCTGTAACTGGAGTTATTGTGTAAGTTAACTACTTATCGTGCCATCATTCATTTACAAGGGAAAATGGATGCATTTGCTGTTTCTCATTAAAAATGTTAATAACATATGCCAGCTTTACATCAACTCCGGACATAGTGTCAAACAAGTACTACCTTGGACCTGCCCCTCTGGAAGAAATGGCTAGGTATACTAAAGAAAAGATTAATTAGGGTGCTTTCCCTTGATGATGGTATAGTCTTTTCCATAATTTCCTTCCTTTTATAGGCTTAATTGGTGTTTTCTTTTGTAGACAAATTGCAACTGCTTCAGGTCCTTGTGGGAACAACAGAGATTATCTTTTCAAGCTAGAGAAGGCCTTGTTTGATATTGGTGAGTGGTGTCTTAAGTTACCCACAACTACATAAATCTTACAGGACTACTTTACAGACAATAGGAAGTTCATGTGAACAGGTCATGCGGATGACATGGTGATAGAGCTGGCAAATGAAGTGAGAAAGGTGCTTGGAGTGGGTAAAGGAATATTCAAGGAGAAGCTGGTTGGATCGCTACACATACCCCTTAAATCCCAAGGCCACATCCCTTCCCTTCAGCCCGGTCGTCTCCCAGAAGCTGTTGCAGCAGACTCCTAGCAATTTCTATGGACTTTAAACAGCAAGGCTCAGATTTCATCTAATCCTTTGTATTCCAATTCTGGTTACTTGCTGCCAGATGAGAGACTCTGCTTTCTTGATACAGGACAACCATCTATGATCTATTTACTCATCTCTTTTCACCTTGTTAACATTTAAGGCGACTAACAATTAAGGCATCAATCTCATATACTTGTACTCAAGGATTTTGATGTAACTCGGTATCAATATCAGCATCTGATCAAAGAAAATAATATGCAAGAAATTCCATTGCAGTCTCTGTTTGTATTTTTGTTCCATATTTAGTGTTATCGATTTGCAATTGTACTGAGATTCCATATATGGCTTTCAATTTTGAGAATGGCACGGAATATAATCCAATATGACAATATCAAACACTGATTTCTAACAATTTCCCATGATTGGTTGTCCAAACAATTTATAATGTGTGATTTCATGGCTTCCTAAACTCAGAATCCTCGAAGGGAATCATAATATGAAAAATCACTAGGAAAACAAGATATAGGTAATAAAGTAAAGGGAAATTACCTATTTCAGCTGCCACAGAAGCTGGTATGAATGTTGGGGGCCAATTTCTTGAGCAACAAACCCTTAATGCAGAACAGAGTATTTTTCTGTCTCAGACCTTTACATGAACTTTTTTTTTTTTTTTTGAACAGGGCAGTTGGGGGAATGGGAAATGGGATTTGTAGGGCTTGAAACCGTAACTCACAAGAGACGATACTCATTAAATCAAAAGATTTGACCACTAGCCCAAGGCGTGGGAATCAGACCTTTACATGAACTTGGTTACTTGGATTGGCATGATCGCCAAGTTGAGTGGCAAAAAGCCAAAAACATTGCAGAAACAAAGTTGAGGGCTTATCTGAAAAAAAAGTTTATAAGGGGGCTTGATGGCAAGAAACTACTTAGTTTGAGGACCAACCAAACAGCTCCTGCCAAAAAAAAAAAAAAAAGAACTTCCTGTATAAGTCAGGTAATCGAGGAAATCGAAAAGCGAGCCCCTTCGCCTCCTGCTTTGTTAGAGTTTCAGTGCCTTCTCCGATTTCATACCGATCGCCCGAGACAGTTTCCGATCGAGCAGAATGGATCTGAACATGGACCTCAATGCTCCTCACTCCATGGGAACTACTATCATCGGAGTCACTTACAACGGCGGCGTAGTCCTCGGCGCCGATTCCCGTACCAGCACCGGTATTTCTCGTTTCCTTACTTTTATTCTGCTTCGCTGCTCCGAATTTTATTAAGTTTCGGCCTCAATTTGTTGCTTCCTTCGTCTCCATGGATGATTATGGAACTTTGCGGGACATACAATTTAGATTTTACTTGTCTTAATCTTAGGGCATTGGAATATATGATTTTTTTTTTTTACTTTAAAGAGGAATTTATGTTTGGTCTTAGGTCACAACAATAAGATTAAGATGAAATTCAAATGTGAAATAATTTTAAGTTCTTACTTGTTTTTTCTTAAGTTGAATGGATTGTTTTGTTTACAGAAGGGTAGATTCTGTGTTATTTGATAAATGCATGCTACTTTGAGCTTGATAACGTCGTTGTTGTGATGGTAGGGATGTATGTTGCTAACCGGGCCTCAGACAAAATTACACAGCTCACCGACAATGTCTATGTTTGCCGCTCTGGATCCGTAATTACTATTAACCCTCGTTTAAACTTTATCAGGAGTTGTTCTTAAACTATGGTGTCTAAGAATGCTTAATCTGGTAATGTGAAATGCTAATCCTTCTATATATTTCCGCTCTGCAGGCAGCAGATTCTCAGGTTGTCTCTGATTATGTGCGATATTTTCTTCATCAACATACGTGAGTGATCCATTGCTTGGCTGTTCTTCTTGGTCCTTCAAAAATTTATATTCAATGTTTTAACTTTGCATTTTTGGTTCATGATACGATTTTGATGCTTTCATTTGCAGCTAAAATTTGCTTGGTTATTTGGTTGGTTGAAGCATTATTAGGATATTCATTTGTGCTGGTTTCCTTTTATTGTCCTTTCCAGTAGCAACTAAATGACTAAAGTAGAGGTCTGTGGTTAAGAGTCTTCTGTAAAGTATCGTACAATGTAATTGTTTGGAATATTATTTGACTAAGTCATCTCATCTTGTCCTAATCCTGTAGATAAATAATCAAGTAGTAGATTGTCATAATTGCTGATCTGTTGTCTTAACCAGAGATTTAATGTTCTATACTGGCTCAGATTTATTTCTCTTAACCAGAGGAAAAAAAAAGAAAAAAAGAAGCAGCCTTGATCTGTGCTGCCATTTTCCATTCTTACCCTAGCTCACTAAGTACTTTCATTTTGCACCTTTTGTTCTGATGGTAGTTTTGGAAAAATTCTTGTCCCTAATCAATTTGGATAAGATTCCTCTAAGTACAAATCTTTCACAGCTGTTCTTTTGGATTCAATTGTTCTTTGCATTTTTTAGGACAATGTTTTTTTCCTCCCCCTTTAGAATGATAACTAGCATGCCTTTTGTATGATCTCTACTTGTTTGGTGAAGAATGAAGTATATTTCTGTTTCAGAGGGCAGATTTAAGAGGACTATAATATCATTTCAATTCCCACCTTCTAACATAGGAGTTCACTTTATTATTTGTTTCATTGCTATGTGTTCACAGGATACAGCTAGGGCAGCCTGCTACCGTCAAAGTTGCTGCAAATCTTGTCAGGTCACTGTCCTACAACAACAAGGTTTGATTTTACTTTCCCTTCAGATGGTAAATTTAGTGTTATTCATGTATTCTCTTAAAGTACCTCAAAGCTCAATTTGCATTTTTTGTATTTAGTTGGAGGACCATTTATATTGACTTGAATATGTCTCAGACCAGAACCTGAAACATTTGAATTGCTGCACTCTTCTGAATGGTTTCACTTATGTTGATTCCTTTTCAATATGATATTGATGCTACAGGACATGCTTCAAACTGGCTTAATAGTTGGTGGTTGGGATAAGTATGAAGGTGGTAAAATTTATGGTATTCCTCTTGGTGGAACAATAATTGAGCAACCTTTTACTATTGGAGGTATGTTGTTTTCTTTTCTCAGTTTTATGTTAAGGTTACATATATTTTGTAATTTAAGCAAAGGAAAAAAAATGAAAAAGCTTCTAATTTGACATGTATTTTTCAGGATCTGGCTCCAGTTACCTATATGGATTCTTTGATCAAGCATGGAAGGAAGGAATGACTAAGGAAGAAGCTGAGGTATGATGTAGAGCCAGTAATTACAGCAGCCAAAAGCTACCAGTTCACCAGTTACTGTTTATTGGTTTGCCATAGCATCTATTGTTAATTGTATTGTGGAACTTCTATTTCAGCAACTAGTGGTTAAGGCAGTTTCCCTTGCAATTGCTCGAGATGGTGCCAGTGGAGGTGTTGTCCGAACTGTCATTGTAAGTTGAACAAAATTCCTTGCAGAGGTTTATTTTGTTATCTTGTCCTTGCCGATGTGTATTGAATTGCTAAATTCCTTTATTCCTTTGCTTTTGTAGATCAACTCAGAGGGAGTAACAAGAAATTTCTATCCTGGCGACACACTTCCACTTTGGCACGAGGAATTGGAGCCTCAGAATTCATTATTAGACATACTGAACACATCAAGTCCTGAGCCTATGAACATGTAATTCCAGATATCTTACCCTCAGCGGGTGGGATACTCGGCTGCACTTTAGTTGATTTCTGTGTAGACTGACTCAAAAAGGGGAATTTTATCTTTATTTAAGTTAAAATATTGATTTACTTTTAGTTTGAACAGTAATTTGGATGATCTAAGTATTGGCTGTGCCCATTGTTTTATGCATGATAATATGCTGTTTTCAAGCTATGTTATCAGTTATTTTTTTCGTCTTTAGGTTGATAAAAATTATAGCATTTTTTATGATTATTTTTATTTATGATCCAGCACTTCTTAACGAGCCAAATTATAACAGTGTAAAAGTTCCAGTTGGACATGTCATTATATCAGGACGTAACTAGTTGGGACCTTACCACAGTGTTACGGGTCTGCGGTTTTAGCTTGTTTAGATTGTAGGGGTTTTTGCTTGTTTAGATTGTATTAAACTATAAAATCGGAGTTAAAGCATGATGGCTTTTTATTTTATAAGTTAGATTATTTCAAATTTTAATAAATAAACTAGGTGGTGGAAGAAAAATTCTTAATGTCATCAGGTTAATTTAGATGTAAAATATTTTTTTTTTATAAAAAATTTTAATATTATCAATATACAATAAGGACCTATTACGAATATTTAAATAATTTTAAAAAAAGTTTTTGCTATTATAAATATTAACATTTCTTAATCTTTTATTTTTTTAATAACAATAATATTTTATTTTATGTACTCATGATATTTTTGTTCAAGATTCCGTTGAGGAATCTCGTTAAACGGTCAACCAACACACACTCGACAAGCAGCAGCATCGGCTTAGATTTTGAGAGCGTGCGATGGGGTCGAGCGTCGGAAGTGAGCTGCACAACGTCTTCGTCTACGGCACCCTCTTAGCCGACGACGTAGTTCGCGTCCTCCTGAACCGCGTCCCCAAATCCTCCGTCGCCATCCTCAGTGGCTAGTACGTACGCCACTCTCACCTTCTATAATGCCAATTTCGATATTTCTTCGGATCGCAATTGCTACTGTTTCGATTCACTTTCTTAATCAAATCGCCATATCGGAGACAAATTTTGCGCACAAATGGTACTATAAATTATGTCATCCCTGTTCTTGTTGCTGTTGCAATACACCATGCTCATAAAAGTGAGTAGAATTTTATGTTTCAATATTTTCGGTATTATGCTATAAATTTTTTTCGGTTTCTGAAATTGCAGCCATAGGTTTAGCATTAAAGGACGACGTTATCCTGCCATTATACCTGTTGAAAATAGCAAAGTTACCGGAAAGGTCTTTATTCATAATTAAGTTGTTCTATCTGTTTTTCTTTTTAGTAGAGAAATGGAGATTCTGTTTCATGCTGATAAGCCTGCACCTGATATTATTATTATTATTACCAGGTTCTCTTGGGAATGACAGATCCTGAATTATATATTTTTGATGAATTTGAAGCTGTTGAGTATGAAAGGAGCTTTGTTGAGGTCTCTTTGATGGTAAGTATGAGGCTCCTTCTGTTTGATGTCTTTGGCTTCCATGATTCTAGATCAAAGATAATTGTATTATTTTTTTAGTACATTGGATGATGGGCTATAGAATAGTAGGTAACCCTCCTTTTCCAAACTCTTCTCCACCCATCACACAATTTAAACTTGAGATCTTCGTGCTCTTAATTACTGGAATGTCCCTTTGGGGACTCAAAGATAATGGAATGATACCACTTGAATGCTAACGGTAGGTTTGTATAGATGGGGCGGGACCATGGGAGCCGCCTGATGTTGAATAAAAAGTATGCCTATTTAATTTCTTCTGTGCTTCTTCTGGTGATTATGTTGTGCAGGAAAATTCTGACAAATTACATGCGTACGCTTATGTCTGGGGCAACAAAAATGATCCAAACTTGTATGGAGATTGGAATTTTGAGGTAAATTTGTTCTAATAATTGATATGATGCACAATTAAGCTTTGAAGAATTCTCTTGTGGAATGTAGAAAGAGGAGAGGGGATGAGAATTTAAGTTGATTCTAGATAAGGTAGAATTCACACAAACAGGTTCAAACAGAGATTTCTCTTTATCATTTCGATTTGACTCTCCATAGGAACTTGTTTCAAATTCCTCAATCCCTGGTGTCCATTTTTACTGGATTCACTTTCGCATGCTTCAAACGGGATTTGCATTAATATTTCCTCAAGTTGCATCCTGAGTAGGCGATAAGGAATAGGCGTTTTCTTAGTCTTTCCTTTTTGTTGTTAACAAAAAATTGCCTAGTGTTGGAAGTTCCTAGTTGATCTTGACAAGATGGCTAGAGCCTTGAGTTGCTTCCTTAAAAATTTAGTTAGCTTTGCATTACATTATATGCAGACAGTTGTTGCTCTAGCTCTCTAACCTTTGTTCTGAATCCTTTTGTTTTATTTGTGATTCTCCTTACACACTAAAAGGAATGGAGACGGGTTCATGTGGAAGATTATATCAAGATGACCACAAGATTCATGGAAGAGCTTGAGCCAAAAAAACCCAAGAGTTGAAACTTATGAATCATACCATCAACAGCATGATAACATCATTCACCTTTTGCTCAACACGTATATTCCGAACCATGTCTTACATTATGATTGGGATTTTTTATTTTATTTTATTTTATTTTATTTTATTTTTAACTAGCGCCCTTGTGCATTTAAACATCTTTAGTAAACTTATAATAAAAGAACACATTGTGTAATAAGAATGATATACTTTATTAATTGATGAAAATAATGTGGTAGAATGTCTCTGGGTTTATTTGACCTAAAACCTAGAAGAAAGAATTATAAATAATTTCCAGAAACTTGCGTAGACCCCAGATGATGTATCTTATTAATGTCTTCTGTTAGCACATTACGATTGTGATTTGGGAGAGCTGCGGCGGCGAATTCTCAAATATCCAAACTTCCCTGCTCCTGGAGACGAACCCTCAAAAACAAATGGCAAGTAGCCTGTTGCGGCTTTGTATCTCTGCTGAATCTGAAAATTTTAGATAGAAAAAGAAATGGTTCACTTGATATTAATGCAGAAATCCAATGAAAGTTTAAATGCATGCATGTAAAATCAATAGATATTAGGATTAAATATTACCGCAAGGATTTGTTGGCTGCTTCTTAGGGAGTTTCTGCCAATTACACAAACCGTGCCACCAGAACCCCCACCAGTGATTTTGGCTCCATATAGAGTACCATCTTCACCTCTATTTGATTTACCATGTTGCATTTCCTGTACCAACTGCACAAGCCTATCTGTTCCATCGGAGCCTAGTCCACAAGCACTGTAGCTGTAGTGGCACTGCAAATATAGTTCTTTTAAACAAAAGTACACCTTTGTTCGCAAAATAGAAAGAAAAAAAGAGTTGACCTTGGGAAAAATCATATAACAAAAGCATAGTAAAATGTCATCGAACATGAAATCGCTTGCTTACAAGGCAGATATAATAGGACACCATATAACTGAGTGCCTGCCTTTGTTCTTTGGTTCATTGATGTTCTTTTTGTCTTTGTTTCTGTCTGAACCGTTTTAATTTAGGCTTTTATTTTACTGCAAGGTAGGCATCATGTACCCATGGTTTGCTTGAACTCAAATGAGATAAGGAATTTAAGATCCTTTCATTTATTCCAGACGTTAGACATTAATTTCTTCATAACAGGGTTGTCCAAAAATGAATTCAGAAAAGGCAACCTAAGAAGATACTTCAAAGAAAACTGAAAAGAGCTTTATAGATACCTGATACATTAGTTCTCCTAGTGCTGTAAGTTGCTCATCAGAAGTTGCAGAGGTCAGCAGTGCCTTAAAGGCCTACATGTCAAAATAACCCGATAAAAGTAGTCAGGGGAAAAAGTTTGTATGAGCCTCAAAAAAAAGAGAAGAAAATACTCATTTTCTACAGATTGCATCCTTAGAGATGTCCTAATTTCCAAGAAAAGCAGCATTAGTAATCAGAAAATTATATTTCAATTTAGTAACTCTTCTGTAAATGTTCAAGTTAAAAATTTGTCCTTGACAGATAATAACAAAACTTTTGACAAAATTCGGAAGATCCCTTATGACAGAAGTGAAAAGCTTGTCAAATCTAGTTACAAACCTTGACCCTGAAATTTTCATATATAGGATGCTTAGCAGGTGCTGTCACACCATATGTCTGCTTGTGATCAATCACTGTAACTGAATCACCATGATGATCATATCTGTCCAGAAATGCCTCACCACTCGTGGTTTCAGGAAGTAGTTTGGCGTAAAGGGCTTCATATCTGTTAGTATGAGCAATAAAGGAAAACAGAAAATTTCACTTGAGAACAGCATTAGATAAAATACAGATATAGATAATAAAAAATAGAAAGAAAACCAGATGGAAAGACCAATAAAGTGAAATTACCTGTGAGGCAACAAGTTACACAAGTAATCTAATGAAGCTTCAGCTTCAAGTAATTCGATGCCAGATTCTTCCAATTCATCAGAAGTTGCACCATTGGCACATGACAATGGTTGAGATGACATGTTAGATGCTATAGACTTTATCATCTTTCTCCCCATAAAGGCCCCTATTCTGACAGATCCATAGTCCGCACCTCCAATGCTACCACATGAAAAGAATGAAGAAATAAAAATAGGGTAACTTTTATTGAGAAAGAATGAAAGATCCATACCCACTGAAGTTACCATATAGTAACATGTTATAGTTTAACTACCAAAAGCTACAAAGATTGCTGATACAATGTAGGCCACATAATGCTAAATTCACAGTTATCCAATCTCGCACCACAGCACAAGCAATTATTTCACAGGAATAGTATCCAAGAAAATTTACTACACTATGTAGAAATGTTAAAAATAAGCTCTTATATGGGATGTATCAATATTATAGACAGACCATAAGTCACAAGCAAAAAAAGTAAAACCAAGTAATAATAGACCCAACACCTGTGTCGAATTCCTGAATCAATTCCCCAAACTCGGATATGGCTAGGAATTTCTACCAGCCCAACTATCTCTGCAGGCTGCATAACAGACAAGCACCAACTTTTAAGATAAGTAAACTTGAGAAACAACTTCACCAGAGTTTTAGTTTGTGTGCAACAATAATGCTTACCTGGCAGACCATTGCAAGCAGCTTGTTGGCCTCACCACAAGCTGAAGCCATCTGGTCCATTATACCACAAGGCGCTCCAACTATGTGATTCTCCACCTGATAAAAAACTAGTAATTGCAAGTGAAGCAACA